AATATTGCAATGAAAAATACATAAAGAGCCCTGGGAAGCAGGTAAGAGCTCACTTTTTGATTTAATTTACCTTCAAGGAAGTTTTAGTTTGTACACATCCAAGACAGGTAACAGGTCTTGCTTGCCTTATTGGGTAAGACTGGGGCACTCTTCTGGTCAAGGAGAGAATGAAGACAGACTCAAAAAGGCCAGGCCTCCTGCTTCTTGAATGCCTGCTGGCATCACTGCTCTTGGCCTCTCTCTAAAACAGAGCAAACCCTGAAGGGAACAAGCGATGTGCTACATTCTGTGCACTAGATCAACTTTCAAAGCATAAGTGTCAGCAGATCATCCATACCCTTCCACTGACAGTTTCCTCCTGATTAGTTCTAGCAGCACCTCACTCCATGTATGTCATCACTCTGAGGGAGCCAAATGCCTGGCCCTGCTTAAAACAAATCCCATGAAACACGAACTGGCTTTAAATCTGCAGGTGACTACACAGTATCATGAGTTTCAGACATATTTTTTTATTCTCTCAAACTCAAGTTTTGATGATCATGAATTCTATTAAGTTGGTGGCTAGAAAGAAGAAAGGAAAATGGACCCATGCATAGGGTTTTTAAGAAAACAGACCAAGTACGTCTTTTGAAACTCAACTGAAACCGCTCAACATAATGTGAAAGACTACTAGAGAAGCACTACACTTTTTACCATATATACCTAGTAAGTTATAGATTATATAACCAACACTAAAAGACAGGCAACAGCATGACCTGTCAAGATTCAAATCTGCCCTCAAAACACTCCTCTTTACTGACTGTTCACAGCTACATGGCCACTGTTCTCAGCTGCTGGAAAAACCCAGTTTGACACACATGAGAACCACCAGCTCCCACCAAAAGGTGATAAATACAGTGTTTGCCATTCAATGATTATGTTAAGAACACTGCCTCTTTCAGATGAGAACATGCCTAACAGTCTCCTTAAGTATCCATTGCTCCTGTAAATACCAATTTATCAAGTGTTTGGTTGGATAAGAGTCAGACTGAAAGAACTGATGCCTTGGCTATACGGACACTGGAAAGTGTTTTGTCCATCCTACATTACTTTCCAGAGTACATGATTTTCTGTTCCTGGTATACAACACTACATCAAAAATTAGGAGAGCAAAATTTACAGAACACCAGTGTATGATTTTATCTCAGTGGAAGAAAGGACACACAAAGCTAGACTAGCCCTCATCAGTATGAAATACCAGAGGAGATTTCCCACTAGTCAGAAGCCCTAGAAAGGGTTCCCCATATACCAAGTTTGCCAGTGGTTTAAGTGTAAAGTTTGTACTTGATATTGTAATAGACAAGTAATGCAGACTCCTATCACCTTCTCCAGCTGAGGAGGAACTATGGGGTTAGTGCAAGCTGTTTGTTACTCCAGCCAAAGCAACCAAACAAGTGAGTATTTCAGTTTTGCTTAAATCACCACTTATAGCTTTCAGTAACAAGGGCCCCAAAGAAAGCGCAGAAACGAATGGTGGAAGTAATTCCCAAACTATTAGAACTGTTTCAGAAGTGAACTTTTGGCTTGCTTCATACTACCTCTGAGGTTTAGTCCTTCACTTCTCAGATGCATATGCAAGGCTGGGCTTACTGGGAAGACTAAGGGAGCTTTCAAGTCTTGTGCTGTGCTCCTGGACAGCTGGTGGGAGCAGCACCAACAGATGACTATGTCAGATGTACAGCTTCTCTGAGTACTGTGACACGATTCTTCCTCAAACACATGACAAGTAATCATCAATACCGAACTAAACAGTAATCTTGTTCATTAACATATGCACATTTAAGCTATTTCAAGATAAAGAACACAAACCCACAACTCCAGTACTTCAAAAAAGGAGGCCAACTAGCTATCCTTCTCATGTACCTCTTTACTTTTGCTGTGTGTAATTTTCTTCCCTTACTGATGCAGTTGTGAATTCCACAGAATGGAGACAATAAGAAATGCATATCCAAGCTACACGTCTGGTTACTTTTAAGATCATATTTATTCACCCTCCCTCTTTAAAACCACACACACACACACACATACAGAGGTTCATCGAAGTCTTGCATTGTTTTAAAATTATTATACCCAAACACTGTTTGGATCTTTTCTCTTCTTTTGCCTGACAACTTTGAAAAATGCTGTTTTCTTATCAGCTCAGAAGTGCAGTACAACTTACCATAAGCAAGTAAAGATAATTTCAGGTTTGTAATAAGAGAAAATACTCAATGAAAGAGTAACTGATTCTGGAGAGTATGTTTTCATACACTGTGATATCTCAGATTAATTAACTCTAAGTACTTACCATATTGTAGGGCATAGACAGTCTTAACATATTTGTCTCAAGGTACAAAGAATTTATGCTCAAGAATCAATACTATGTTTTTAAAATTAACTTTTTTAAGGATAAGAATGATCTTCGAAGCATAACTGAAAGATATCAGCTTATAAAATGTATTTCTCTCTTGATCAATTTCTGTACTCTGCTTCTTATTTGGAAAAGTGATGTACTCATTGAAAGGTTTCTTAGAAAGTAATGATACTCTCTGCTTTGCAAACAGTTTCTTATGTTATGGTGACTTAAGTACCTTTCGTAGCTCCAGCAGCCCTGTCTGCATGAACACACTGAAATGAAGGTACACACTTTCCTTTCCTAGAATAAGACACTCAATCTGAAGACAAATTAAAACGTGATAGAAATACATTTTCAATTAGTACAGTAAGAATGATCAGTAACACTCAGTACTAGAGGTAATATGCATTTTGATGTTAGACACGTATGAGATGTATGAAACCATTATGTTTCCGGAGTCAGCTGTACGGCTTTCTATAAACCAGCAGGTCATACATGTCAATAGGCTTATGACAAACAAATATCTTTCTCTTTTTACAATTTGCCTCTCCTGTCAATACCCTTTAGCACTTTGTATTTTGAACTGACACTTGCCAGAGGTATTTGTTGCCAGGCTGAAGCACTACACCATAAGCTGCATCCCTGTGTGCCAGCAATGATTTCAGTGACGAAACCCAGCTACAGAGGTCTGAATATTTGCACTACTTTTTTCCTTAGGGGGAAGGTGTGACTTATAAAGTAGAATTCAAAACGTTTCCCAGTTATAGCCACATTTCCCAAGAGGCACTGAAAAGACCCAGTTTGTGTGTAATTATGAAAGACAGTGTCTGGGGATGCCAACTGCACTGAAATATATGAATGTTTTTAACACGCTAAACATGTCTCAACTCAGCAGCATGCTTATCTGAAACCCAAAATACTACTTTTGATGGTTTAGCAATGCAAAAATTCAGAGATAAGGTAATGCTAAAACCTTGCACGTTTGGGCTAGAGTAGTGAAGTTCTTGTGTTGTCTCCGAAATGATTCTGAAAATAAAATTTGTCAAGTCTTTTTCAGAATCAGCCTTAAAATTTTGCTACTGCAATCTATATTTAAATAAACCTTTTATTAACCCTTTTATGAAGAAACAAGCTTAAAATCTGTTGACTCATAAACAAGATACAAGACAAAACACATTTGTTTCCAGAAGCTTTGGTTGTCAGTGTTTGTTTTCTGGAGAAATGACCTGATGATTCAACATTCAGGCAATATTTTTTCTCTTTTTAGTATTGTGTCATAGAACATGACCTTATTTTTGTTATAAGTAATGAACTATTTTTTTATGAAGCACAGATATGCTTGCTTCACACTGAAACAGATTAAAAGTCACTCCAGTCAAAATCTGTGCTAATGTGTCTCCTGTTTATTACATTTGGTGACACTTAACACTTTTGCTGTCTCCCAACACACAGAGACAACTCTAAACTAACACCTGAGACAATGACTTACTGCACGATATTATAATCAGTCAAAAACCCCTCACTTCTTTAAGACATAAATCCATGTAAAAAAATCTGTATCTTAATGTAGTGGGATAAAATACCATAAATATGGAAGAAATGTTTACTGACCTTCATTGTTTATTGCCCTTTATTCATCCTCAGCAAAATCCACATCAGAAAAACATAGTACCATTTCTTGATGCATTTCCTAGTTAATTATAGAAAGTTTCCTATATCCTCCAGATAACATATGAATGCAATGCCACTTAAGAAATAAGAGACAGCAATAATCTCAGAGTTAGAGAGAAACCTTTCATACAGTGAAGAACAAGAAAAAGAAAAAAGGAAAAAGCTCCCTCCAAAGGATTTTTTTCTCTAAAATTAATTCTTGATCTGTGGACTTTTAGTAGTTATCACACAACCTAAAAAAATATTGCAAATAGTATATATCTACATATATATTTTCATATGCACACAAATAAAATTTGGCAAAAATAGAACATTTAAAGTTAACTTAATATTTATCCTATCAATCATAATTGCAAGTAAAGCCACGAGGAAGCTCTTTTCTGCAGCAGGGATTCAGTGTGTTCAAACTCTCAATGCTCTTAAATTCCAGTTACTTCCAGTGGTAGAGCTAGTACCTTATAAAATTATACTTGGCTTATGTGAGAGTGAACAGTCACCATGCCAACCCTGACGAACAATACAGGACATGAAATAGCCCGTGGATCTCTTGTCCCACCCAAATAGCTGGAAATCTAATTGGGGTAGAGGAAAACAAAACACAATCAAAACAACCATATGAGTCAAGAGGCTGCACGGGCTTATGTGGAAACAAACACAGGTACCAATCTCCATGTAGTGTTTCTACCTAATACATCAGTGAAAAAACAGTTTTCAGTTACCAGTCTGGTATATGTTTTCCCATTAAGAAGGTGGTTTCACAAGCCACTGAACTATATCTTTGATGTTTGTGATAACTATTCCTAACTGTTTGTGAACTACACTATTAAATCCCCTCAAATCTCAGTTTATTTTCCCTTGTAACTTATTCCTACAGTGCGAGATCAACAGACACAGAGTAGGCCTTCAGGCACTAAGAATGTAAATCAGCCTAATCTCAAGAAAACAAGATGTGCACTTAACCATAAATATTTTTTTTATAATCACATCAAACATGACATACCTGGTATTCAGTTTTATATAAATTAGTTCTTACGTCAGATCTACTTCTGAGGTTATCCAAAACCCAAACACATAACATTATTTTTACTCTTCAGGCCTGAATAATATTTACAGACATTAATGCTATATCCAGCTCTACAATCATTCGAGACACATTATATAACTTTATTTTTTTATTTGACAAGCAGCAGTATCATGTTCGTCATTTTTTTTTACATTTTAATGTAGATACAATTATTAGGTTATCTGTCATATTACAATATTTAGGTTTTTTGTGTGATTTTTTTTTTTTTTTTACTTTGTCTTAAGATACATTAAAAAACATCAACTGCAAACGTGAAAGGGGAGGGGGGGGGAAAAAAAAAAAGCATGGTACCCAACCAATTCATCACATTTCAGCAATACTTCACTCATTCTTTTAGTAAAGTTTTAAGAAATGTCATAATGACATGAGCTTGAAATATCTATAGGCATTTTCATTGACGCTCATGACATGGCACTGGTGATGTTGTAAACAGCAGAAAAACAGGGGCTGCCAAGTGACCAATTATGGAGGCACAGGCCTGCCTCTTCCCACAGGAACACACCAAACAGTGAGAGCAATGATCTCCTTACAATCATACCTGCAGGATAGCAACATCATGCTACATAACTGTATTCGTCTGCAGAGGCCTGGCTTCGCTCTATGTACTGTTTGTCTATCAGAACTTCAATACACTTCTTAATCATGCTGATACTTGGGTTAAACCTAGCTCTTGATTGGCTGATTACCTGCAAAAGGAAGACATAGTTTTTGTGTTAGTTTTGGTTTTCACAGTCAAAAACTTCATCTAAATATTTGTTAAGGGCTTTAAGGCAAATTCAGTATGCTTTTCTTTTAAAGACAGGATTAAATAACCCTGGAATAGTTAATTTATAACAATCAAGAAAGCATCTTTATGCATTAGTGTCAGGACACTGAAACTGACTGCTGAGCTCACTGGTTAGTTTGGCTGCATGTTCCCCATATCTCTTCATTTCTCTTGCTTGCTTCATTTGTCACAGTACAAATGAACACAAATACCCATGTTAAAAATTAATCTAATATAAACACATCTGTTCACTATTATCATAGTGGAGTTCCGCTACCACTGATCTCCCTTCCTATACAACTTGAGACAATCGGGGTGAACCTCTATTCCTTCAGTCACTGAAGACAGATACACAATTTGGTGAGTTCCATCTGCCTAAGCTGGAACTTTGTATTACATGCAGTAAAAATTTATTTACTGTAAAAACAAATCTATATTTGCATTGTGGAAGAAACTGCCACTGCAAGCAAAACTTTAGTTGTGTCTTGATAGTTCTCAGTTTTGCTCATTCTCCTGTAGAGAAGAAGAGGAAATCGTGAGTAGTAACAGATCACGCAAATCTAGAACTTGAAAAATTTTTTAAACAAAATATCTTACTACTCAAATGTCACAATATATTTTGCCTGTAGTTTTTAATTTCTTCTGTAAAGAAAGTGATCTTTATTTCAGCTGGATTTCCTGTTTTCTTTACAACTTCTCACGGTTGGCTTTGTCCCAGCTCTAGAGTTTGCTGGAGCCCTCTGTGAGCCAACAGAACTCACCAGGTGGAATTCACCCAGCAAAGCAAACAAAAAGCTCAAAAGAGCGAGTTTTGTTGGGCTTGCAGCCAAGGGTCTGGTACGTTCCACAGCAGCACAAATGAGGAGAAAGCGGGTGCTAACAAACTAATACATCTGCTCAGGTTTCACCTAACTTCAGCCCTACACTCAAACTGATTGTCATCATCATACTTCATGTATTTACTTAGGACAGAGAGAACAAAAGGGTTTGTATTGCTAAGGGCTTTTTTTGTTTTTGTTTCCTCAAAGGTAATACAAATAAGAAGGACAGACAGAAATACCTATGGTCAGAATAAAAACTTTTCTGGGAATGACTGCACTGACCTTTCCCCTCCACTACTTCCATGGACTTACTCGTTTTATGGGAAAAGTTACCTCATCCTGCAGGCACTGCAGCATAGAGCTAGAATTGAAATTATCAGGGCATATCTAACACAATTAACAATTCAGACAAAGGCCATATGCTGACATATATAGGTCTACCAGGGGCCTGGACTATTTTCTTGGACACCTCACCCTAAACAAAATGTGTGGGGCTGTAGTCTAACTGTTAAAATCAGAGCCAACTACATTAAGGCTAGGAGTCTCTCAGTCATATATCTAACAACAATATAATCCTACCCTTATAGCTAAAAAAAAGTAATACTAATGAGGTGAGAAAATATTAACTCTTTGTAGTAAACAGACTCCTTCTAAAAAGATTCATTTGTCTTCAAGAAGTCAGACAGGAAAATTTAAGTGAACACATTATACATGTACATAAACAGCATGATAAAAGTAACAATGTCACCAGAATTAGTAACAATATTGCAACTTTACTCCCTACTTAGTTTTTAACTGAGTAACTATCAAAATATCCCCCTTTCTTGAAAAGCTAAAGAAAAGGCTCCTGATGCTAATAGACTATTCTGCAAGATCACTGCAAGAGCAAAAGACAGCAGAGGCACATAAGATAGTGGCCCTTCCATTAAACAAAGGAAGAAGCAACCAGAAAGGATTTGTTTCCAAAACATAAAAATTTGTAATCTATTTCACCCTTATGAACTGGTGCCAAGAAAAGTACATTTTGGAATCTTTTTCTAATAATTTGAGTGGGGAGAAAAATATTTTCAAAGATGAAAAAAGGCTTGCCTTTCTAGTTTTATTTGTAAATTCTTACAGGACTTCATCATAACTGCATGGATGATTTAAATAACAGGAAACCAAACAGCCAAAGATTTTGAGAAGAATCAGGACCAACGGTGCCTTACCTTTTAGATATTCAATCTAAGAGTAATTGTGTACAAGCACTACTTCAATATCCAAAACTTTTAAGATATCTCACATTGCAAGTTCTGGGCTTACAAACTCTCTGTACCAGCTTATTTTTTTTTTAAGAAATAAAAATTAAATGGTGGGTGTACTAAACTATTTCCTCCATCACCACAAATTACTCAATGCTTCTCCACCTCCATCCTCAAAACGGTTGAATAAAGCAGGAATCTTTATTCCTCCTCCCACCAGTCTGCTCTGAGGCTTTCAGCAAGGCTCAGGGACACAAGAGTGAACTAGACTGAAGAAAGAATGCCTTGGAAGGTTGAGAAAACTAAAACTGGGAACCGGTTGGTGGGAGCAAAGGTTGGAATGAAAAATACAATTAGGCAGGCGACCAACAGATGGGAAAATGGGAGAAAAACCAATGACATAGCACTACCTTCCCAGCCAGCCTGTGACAATTCACAGATCATTAATCCAGAATCTAAAAAATCTAGAGAACTGTACCACCTAATGGAAAAGGGAGATTAAAAAGTGCATGTCTTCATACTCAGACAACTTTTAAAATTTAAGCCATGTATTACAATGAAAATAATGGTTAGAGCTAAAAATTGGTTAGGTGCTTCTGTGCAAATTCCATACTTCGAATATCCATACTCAGGTTTTCAACTGTAACTATAGCTCTGGCAACATTTCGTATAGGATACAGTATCTGTTAGCACAGAACCAGCCAACAGGAAAGAGCAAGCACTTAATGTTTTAGTGGTAAGACACATTTACAAGACTGAGGGATCCCAGCTGGTGCTCTAGTACTGCGGTTCAAAGCAGACTCCAAGAAAATCCTCACTAATTTCACTGGGGTATTAGTTTCAGCACAGGAGAGTTCTGTGGTCAGATGTTTTACCCAACTCTCCAGAAGATTTTTATCAAATCAAGTTGAAGAGGGGGACTTTCTCTTACCTCCTGAATTAGAGCATTATGTCGCAACACCTTACGTGCTTTCATGATACGGACTATAGCAGCTTGGAGATACATTTTTCTGTCTTCATCCACAGCACTTCTGGTCTGCTCCATCTCCTGTGATATAGCAAGAACATTAATGTTTAAAATATAGTACGACCAATAAACACTTCATAAAAGGATCTGGAACCTACACATTTTACTTTACTAAAAGTGGTCAACTAATACAAAAATGCAGGAGAAGTTCAATTCCAGGCAAAGTACTTCCATAAATCAAGAATACGAGGTTTCTTTAAAGTCAGCAGGAAGGTAGGACAGGCATCCCAACCACCAATACTGCTAGGGAGAAAGGTAGGCAGAATTTACTATAATGTATTGAGTTTGGCAGCACATACATATCTTGCACAAAATCCTATGTCTTAGGAGATACAGGATTATCAACACAGGAGTTAATTTTACTTGCCGAAAGACAAAAATCATAGGAAAATATTTGATTGGTTCTGCTGTTCCTGGAATAAGTTGCTTTTGCAAACACCACCCATAAAAAAGTCTCATGAGATAACACCACCAACAAAAAAGTCTCACGAGATAAGACAAGCTAAATGTCAATCCCTTTTGGTACATTTTGTTCATCTTTTCCTTCTGCCTTCTTGTTCCCTATTTTATCTTCTCCTGCTTGTATTTTCAGTACAAAAAAACTTGCAGTGCTTAAGTTTTAAACTTACACAATTTCTTTATGGCTATGTAAATCTTACTTGGTGAATCTTACGTCTGCCTACACCAGACTAACACAATAGAAAAATTTTAGAAAAATAAGTTTCTAAGCTGTTCAAGCTAGAAACACCAAAGAATACTCACCTGTGGTGTGTCTTTCTGCATTGATGTTGTAATTTTAAATTTTGTTCGTTTACTGCTGAAGTTCATATTTAATGAAAACGTAGACTCTGTCTCTATGTCTTCCTGCAATAAAGAATCTTTTTTAAAAATCAGAAAGAGAACCAGAAAACGGTAGCAATTTACTTTGAAAAGTCACAGTTAGGGTCTTACATACATACAAACAATTTCAGATTTGTAGTTGGAAATTCCAAAATGCCACTTGAACCAGATCAATTTTTTAAGCTACAGTTTAACTAACCTAGAAGTCAAGTCTACTTCAGAAAACACTATGAAGAATTCTATCATACATTAATTTTGTTAACAAGTCAATATGATTAAAGCAATTTCTTTTTTAATACTTTGACATCTTATTTAGTTGCAAGCACTCTCCATTTAACTCATTTTCTTCCTGAAGAGAAAGCAGGATTTGCATTTATTTATGGCAGAACGTCAAGAAGGAGCTGTTGCTTTTACAATTATTACTAATGTTGTCTCCCAGAATTTAAGGAAAAATATCTAAGCATTTTTTTTAATATTATAGAAGAAACAGCTGAAAAACTGCACATCTGTGTGTTTCTAATTTTTTCCTGTTAGAATCTCAATTTTTTTCCACACATAAAAGTCCATTTCTTTCACTAAATGGTAACTACTCCCTGCAATCAAAACACCTTTACTTTCAACTAACAAGATAACTGCATTGATCTTTGCAGTTTCCAGGCAAGAGTCTGTAGAAGTATTAGCAATTTCCAGCAGAATAAAGTTACTGGACTTCTGAGACCTTAGAATGTTGCCAAACTGTCTGAAGGGCAAATATTTCAGTAAACACAGCCAATATTTAACTAAATATGCACTCAAAACAGTATTAATTCTAATTTTATATTCTGCAACAAATATTCTTTGTTAAAATAAAAATAAAACCAGGACACCAGGCATAGTATAGAAATTTTAACACGAAACGGGAAAGACCAACAGCTTAAAAAAAATAAGCTAAAAAAAAATAGGCTAACGTTAAATTTTAGCATTATTCTCCTTACACAGTTGAATATAAACCAAAATAAATTGTGTATGGAGCATGAAATTAAAAAGCATGATTCTAATGGACAAATAAAGATTTTGTCAAAAGCTGTTTGTGGTGTTCACCTCTCCCCCCTCTGCTTCTCTCCCTGATCCTGCTGGTGGGGGAGTGAGCAAGTGGTTGTTGGGCCTTGGCTTCCATCTGGGGTGAAACCACAACATTCAGATACAGGTTAAGAGAAGTTTGTATATTGAATTCCACTGCTTAAGCCACTAAAGTTCATTTGTTTATTTAATAAGTAATCTGATAGGCTGTCTACAAATCTGCTATCACATTACTGGAGAGAGTGCAAAGAAAACAGAAATAGCAAAGATGCTTGAATACAATAGTTTGGAAGGCAAAGAGCTAGAAAATGCAGTGGTAAACATTAAAGGGTGAAAGGGTTGGAAAGCTGTATCATTCCCTCTTCAATAACATATCCTTAAAGGAACTGGGCAAACCTTATACAACAGACATAAGTAAAGGTAAATCCTCTAAATAATGGGCAACTTCCTAAGATAATGAAAAGTTTCACTGTTTTCTTTAATAGCTCCCAGTGTTTTATTTGACTCATGGTTTAACAGAGATCTTCCCAGCTATTGTTCCAACCTGAGCTCATTTCTAGAGATTGGAAGCATGTCCTATGCTTTAGCCAAGCATCAGATCTTCCTTGTAATCTCACTTCCCATTTTTTAAAATTTTCCTGCCATCAGAGCAGTTTTAGAATTCTTCTCAAAAGCGAACTGAACAGCTTATCTCTGTACCTTCTGTCTGATACTGTCTGAATAGTGGGCTTTCTGGGCTAGCTGGAAGCACATGCTAATGTCTGTACAGGATGCACAGGCACTTCTGTCATGTTTCTTACTTAACAGACCTCTGTGTCCTTCGCTGTATGGGAAAAAGGGCAACTGGTTTCACATAGGCCATACAGAAGGACGAGACAGTCAGAAACAGAACCTTTATCAACCATTGCCTTAATCACAAACAAAGCTCAGATATTACTGGAATTCCATGAAACTCCTGGAATGATAAGTTTGGCAAAATGCAGCCAAAACCCTCCTTGCTCTCTTTCCATCTCCTGTAATCTGTCCGCAAGGAAGAACCCTGTTGCTGTTGCTTTCAGTCTCTTAATCCCACAAATATCTTTTTAGGATAGTTGTAAGATTCTGGTTTACAACTCAGGCTCCTTCCCCTGATTCAATACAACTTCAAAAGTGGTGTATTCCCCTCCAACAGTGGTGAGTCTAAAGGCATATGTATGAAATGCAATAGAAGCAATAAACAGTCCCAACTTTATTATCTGTTCAGCAGACCATGCTGCTATAGGCATGGAAAGCCTATATGGCAGACAGTCTACTTCCTCCTATCTCTTTCCTTAAAAATACAAATTTATAATTGTTCACAAGGGTCAATAATACAGTTTTGAGATTAAACAATGGTTTATTTTATATTAAAACAAGCCCTCAAGAAATATCAGAATGACAAGACTGAAAACGTGAAACTCTTGTATATCATTATGGCATACCTTGTCTGAGTCATGGTTTATCATTTTGACATCAAGCAAAGATTTGATGGTTTTTGTCAGTTCCTTCTCATTCATTTGTGTGCTGTCCTGAAGTTCCTTGTAACTGACAGTCTCACTGTTGTTGAAGGCAAGCAACACTGCCATTTGGTATGTTGTGACCATGGCTACATAAGGTTTGCACAAATAGTTCATTTTTACTTCACCTATAATGACACAACAGCATTTTATAAACTGATGGAAGGCGCTGAAAAGTCATCTGAAGTTTAACTACCAGAACTCCTCACGCATTTCCAGACATTCAATTCAAGCTTGCATTTTACACTTGAAATGGGATGATGACAACTGGTGTTGTGAATTCACAGTTACTGAATGTGATCTACAACAAAAAAACCCCTCTGACTAACTATGAATACTAGAACAATACTGTTTTGAATAATGCAATATAATTTATAATAATAATAAAAATAGCAATTCCAATTAGATTTTCATAACATTATATTGTTGTATGCTAGTCTGGTTTTTCATCTCCATGTAATATGCTGTGGTGCTCAGTCGTTAAAGCCTGATACTGAAAGCATTTGAAATAAAACACGATTTACTGACACTTACTAAAATAAACTATAATTTTATATATGTCTTCTAAGATGTTAACATGTACTCCCATATAGTAAATATAAGTACTTGTTTACTTAGATACTCACATACCTGATTAAAATAGTATAATATGCATTCTTAAAATTAATTAATATTTATCTAAGGGACAGCTATACTACAAAAACAATTCCAGGTCAATTGTTATTAACTCAGCAGTTCTGTAGTGCTGTTTTGTAGTTAAGAACATACAACTCTAGTTTTACTTGGATTTAATAAATCACAGGTAACACATGCAAGTTTACAAAACATAAGTTTTGGAAATACTATGCAGCAAATATTAAATTAATTTATAATGCAAAATAATGTGTTGACTTTATAGGCAAAATATTGTTCCAACTCCACAGTCTGTTGCTGTTTGAAAAGGACTTCTAGCAAATACCTGTCAGTTGTATAGATCACAAGTTTAGCAAAGCACTTGTTTTTACCTGTACAAAGATAATGTAACCAAGTAAGCTTCCTTCCACTAAAATGCTGACTGTAAAATAATTCAAACTGCAAAACAAAATGAATTTCAATTAGTCACACATGTAACTACTTATAATAGTTTATTATCACCCTACCACCCTAATGAAGAAATACTGGCTTTATGTTCACCCTACTGGATGCAAACATTGCAGATCAATTCATGACAGCATTTTCCTTTGGAACATGATGATGACTGAATCCTGATAAGGTCTACCTCTGGTAATGAGAAAAACTTTAGCAGATTCAAAGAACCTTTACCTAAAACGGGATCAAACTCTCTAAACCCCCATAGCCAACACTGTGTACACAGTTTGGCTTATTCCAATTTGGTCTGGCAACTCTGATTAACATTGAAGGAAAACACAAAACCAAGAACTTTTGACCTCTTTAAGAATCGGTTTCTCCACCCACAAGCTTACACAGTATGAATACCAGTATATGTACACCATTCAGATAAATATATATTTACAGGAAGCTCCAGCAGTCTCAGAAAAAGCTGCTAAACAGCTTGCCCAGTTATTCACATATTTTGGAGTGCAACTGCAAAATGGTTTTTTTCTTTCTAAATCCTGGTCAGAATCCTGAGAGAATTCTCTCTCTATGGGTCAAATGATGAAACTTAACAGTAAATACATTGTCAGACAATTTTCAAAGACCCCCCCAAAGTCATATTCTATTGCCTTAGGAAATTTTTATTTAGGGCACTGACTCTAGCTATGACTAAATTTGCTCCTTTAAACTAGCAAAACAGTGAAATTAGGCAAGCAACCCAGACTCTAAGCTGCTTCTGATACAGAAGCCTGTAACAATTTTCCAGCTGAGACACAACTGACAATACTCCTGCTTTGAACTCACAAAGAACAGGAAAATCTCATCAATCACCTTCTGGTGACTGCATAGTATGGATTGGAAACTATTATATTGCTAAAAGTGCCACCTACTAGAGGGGAAATATAGCAGAATAAATAGTTCTAAAACTCAGTAGCAATATGTGAAAAAGCTCCCTCACCACAGAAACAGACATTTACCATTATAATTTATATCAGATAGTAAATTAAGGTATAAAAACTGCTTTTAAAAATCTGTTATGTCCAATAATACAAAATTTTTATTGTGTAAATTGTACTTCACCATTAAATACACTTTAAAAAAGATCAACACACATTGTACAGGTAACATTTAGAACACCATAATACAATCAAAACCAACAAAATACTTACCTCTACAAAGTAGAAATAATCACGTAAGAAAAGAATATTTGACCAAAGTAAAATCTTTATTGCTTTGAGAAACCATAAAATTAGCCTTAAAGAAGTTTGCACAAAGCTTGATTTTGAATAGCTCCTATGATATACAGGACAACCCCCCTGTATTTGCATCTTAATCTGCTATTATATCTGTTCATATTTAATATTAGAAACAGAATCTTTTTTTCTTTAAATATTAGGAATTGGTTTTAAAGAAAGAACCAACCTAGTTGGCTTAATTGTATTTATTAACATCTCCCTCAGCAATCACAAAGTGTAGAAGAGAGATGTTAAAAATAAAGAAAAGCTATGCAAATACATACATAAATTCAGTAAGGTATTTGAGTGACCCTTCCACATTTCCTATGGACTGGAAACAGGATATCCACAATTTACAAACAAAACCAGGTTTTTCTCTGTTTGAGTGATGATCTTTTATTTGGAGTTATTTTACATTTTCCACATGTTTACAAGAAGCCTCCTACTAACCTACCATCTGTACACTTTTTTCCAGTTCCTGAGGAATTGCAAATGTAGAAGAAGGAGCCTGAGTTAGAGGCCATGCACCAGCCTAAAGATATTGGGAAAAAATAAAAGCATTAACATTTTCAGACAACATATACATTAAGAAAAAAATAACACTCTTAAACAGATCTATAGTGTACATTATGTCATAAGACAATCAATTTTACTGCTCATTTTTTACTGCTCCTTATGCACACCCCAGTGAGGTATTAACTGAAGTTGAGAGCACAAGACATTTTATATCACTACTGTTTAGTGAGCTGCTGGGTTAATTTTAAAAAGCAACACTAGGAAAATAAATTACCCTACAATAATCACAAGGCATCAGTTTCCATGCAAAGAAGCATTCATAGTTAGAAAAACTGTTCACTTGTTATCAAAACATAAAAAATAAGCACAAGTAACTCAGTAGTAATAAACATACATTAGTACCTGTAGAACATATATCTGAAAGCTAATTCCCAAATCTATAATCGTGTCCTGGTTTTTGATAAAGTTGTTGAATTTATTGTTGAGATCAGCACTAACACTCATGTCTGTATACATTCGGTGGAGCTTGCTGGTAAATTCATAACCACAGGCTTGCTGTGAAGAAATATTGTAAGAGGTTTCACAGTGAAAACAGTCCTTATTGTATAAATTATGCCCACTCACTACTACAATATGAAAATCTAGTCAGCAGAAGTGTTGTTACATTTACAGAAAACACTAGTTACAATAGAAAACAAACATTGTAAAATAAAATTACCAGATTTATCTTAGTTTCACTCTATACACAATGATCTACATGAACAATGTTATCCTACAAAACTGAAAGACAGACATGGTCTATGAAAGTCCTTGGTACTTCTATAATGTTAATATGAATTATTTGAACCCATCTAATAAAACTACCCAAAACCTTATAAAAATCTCAAATGCCTAGATGATACTTGGCCATATATCTTTCACAGACTACCAAAAAACTAGTTGTTCCTTTCAGCTATTGGAAACAGACCCACTGACTGCTAAGTTACCTCTGGCACCCTCTGCTGCTCCCTCTCAACACTACATATTCCTTTGTTCATTCTGTGTTAGAAGAATATTACGTTACCTTTAGTTTATTTATCATGGCTTCTTCAGAATCCATAGACATAGACAAACCATGAATTAATCTTTTTGCCAACATTCTGGCATAGAACTGCATTGAAAAAAAACCAGATATGAGGATTTTAAGAAGCATAATCGCATGGTTCAAGTATGCTTTAAATGTAATATTTTAACCTTTATTGAATATAAAAAGTTACCTTTTGGAATACATCTTTGTCATCAATGTATTTGAAAACAGTAATGAAACTTGTAAGTTTGTCTTCTACTTCATTCTCTGTCATTCCTTTTGCTGATTTCTTCAACAAGTTGTCACAGTACTTGGCCAGCTCAAATTAGAAAAAGAAAAATCAAACCCAAATCTACCTGTCAAGCTTGAGAACAAATGTATGCCAAGGTATTCCAAACTTCTACACAAAGTTCAAACGTGAAATAAGTCACAGTCTACAGTCCCACATTCTATTACAAGGCTGTATTCATGGGTAAACTATACATTGTACATCTGCAGAAAATACAGTCTATATCAAAAAATAAGACCATAACAACTCTGCACACCCACAAAACGTGTGTGCAAGTTAAACTGCTACTACTGAAATACACACCTGAGGGTGACCCAGTGTAAGAATTGGATATTCATGTGAGGGACCCTGTGCCAACTGATTTGACAATTATAAACAAGAATCCTTACTTTCTACTTGTATCACTTACCAACTCAGGTGCTTTGCAGATCGACTTGGGCTCCCTATAGTTAACTACTGATGTCAAAGCCTACATAAGAACATAGAGCAAAGAGAAAAATTGTAAATGACTTACACCTTTTTCTTTTATGAGATTTGAAGAAATCAAAAAAAAAATGCTCAAGGCAAAGACCATCTGAGACACTATAAAACTGAATTACACAAAGGGGGATCAAAAAAGAAACAATGAATAAAAAGGTTTCAATTACTGCCCTGGGAGAATTTGGTTGTTAAACATGTTTAAGTTGAGAGTTAAGTAAAAGTGGAAAGAGTAGAGGAACAGAAGCTAATTACAGAAAATGGGAGAACAAATCAAGTTCTGATTAGAAACTTTGCAGAAGTATGAAGATTTTTGAATACAGCAATATTACGGTGCAAAAGTATGGATGGGAAGAGGTTTAGGAATAATTGCAGATAAAACAGATTTGAACATCAGCACAACAACAGCAGATTATATCGACAGCATGTATCTTGAACTGAAAAGCATATATGGTGTGCTCATAACAGTAAAAACTAAAAGTTCTTTTGGTTGTGGGATTTTTTGATAGACTAAAGAGGAGAAAAATATTGTTCAAAGTAGAAATTTGAAGCAGTATAGTACAAACAATATGATGGTTAAAGAAAACCTGAATATGACAAAAAGAAAAGGAAGAAGATAATGAAAGATAAGAATGGAAAAAAAGATGTTAGAATAATCGAGTTTCTAAACCATACATCACATTGAAATTAACGTTTTAAACTAACATTGAACCAAAAATATTGCGTGATTATAGTTCCCAGGAATTACAGTTCCTCTATGGAAGGAAAATATTGTTCTTATTATCAAGATGAACTGACAACCAACGTTTTTGTACAATACATCAACATTTCAAAACTTGGTAGTAGGTCTCTAGAATCCCTGTGAGAAAGGAATTCATGACTTGGAATAGGAAACTTTGAAGTTTGGAGCACTTTTTTGCAATAAAACTGGAGGCAGTAGTTTTTATCTCCACCATGAAAAATTAACAAGAGATTAATATTTTAAATATTTATTGTAAGAATGATCACTGAAGTGAAAAAGTGATGTATCTAACAAAACCTATGTTGCTATATGCCAAAGGTAGTTGTCAATCTCGTGTTACTCCACCTTCTGGTACATGACATTAATTGCAGTGGAGACAGAAATGTGTTTGGCACTAAGTATTTGTTTTAAAATGATAAATAGTTATTTTCTCCATATCACAAATACAAATGGGTAACTACTATTGGTGTTATTATTGGTACCTTCTTCACTATGCCTTTTCATACTAACCTTGGCTGAAAATTATCAAAGCTTAGACTAGGACCCTGATTACAAACTGCAATTATTATAAACACCACAAAAGAGCAATGAACCATATGTCTACATCCCATGACAGGAAATTATAGACAGGAAAGATACTTACAATTAATAGCTAAAATCAATAATTATTATTATTAAACTTTATAACAATTAGAACCGTTATGTTAAAATAAAAGAGCAGCAAGCCTCTTTCCCTAAATTTATTATTTAACTTCAACTGCAGCTCTCTCCTGCAAAAAGTTACCTATTGTGACAGTGATTGAAGTAATGTAAGTTTTCAGATACTCTTCGTTTAGATTTTTCAAGTTGACTGCAAATATTCTATGTAAGTAATACTAAAAGCACTCAGAGTCAAACATTATGTCAGGAAGCAAATTCAAGTTCCAATGCATTTAAGAATTACCAAACCTCCCAAACACAAGTTGTCTATTATCTGCACTTACATTTACACTAAATGTGTCAGCATCCTTTTTGTGTTATGAAATGTGATGAAAAGAAAGGCCTTTCTTTCTGAAAACATTAAACTATTAAAGTGGTTTCCTCTGTACATATCTTTCCCTCTAACACTGGCTTGTCTTTTGTTCCATTGCATTTCTAAGCTAGAAAAACTGCATAAAAACTCTATCTTTGAACATGTGTTGATGCTCTGAAGAATTCTGGTGAGGCTGAAACAGGGTCCCGAATTTTGTTTTCCAATCCCTTGTTTACTTAAGTAAAAGTTACCTTGTCGAGGGCACTCATAAAGTGTTGATCACCATTCAAAACAGTGTTGATGAGTTGCACAAATTTACTATGTACTTCCAAAACTGACTCCACAAACTGAGTTGGCATCTAAAGAGAAGTAAATGAAACAGAAAGCAAGTTAATGAGAAAAGTAGTATTATCTACGTATAAACATATCTACCTTAGTTGTAGATTTTTTCCTAATTACTCTTTTTTATAAAAGTTAATACCACAGTGATTAAGTCATTGAGAGGATTGGTTCTGCACTGTTGTACTCTCACACGACTGTCCTAGAGCATGTTTTGGAAACAAAAAGACCAGGCTACATTTACAGTCCTGCTATCCAACATAGATTTGGGTCTATACTGCTCTCATGTCATCTAATTTTTTGGATCATACCCTAAAATCCTTTATTAGCCTTTCCAAAAACCATTAATGCTAACACATAAATACAGTGATCAAGCCAAAACACAACTGAAGTAAGTAAACGGCTGCTTCTCCTACACACCGACTTCAGAGACATAAAATCTGGATGATCCCTTTGCATTTTCCTCCATAGGACAGTTATCAATTGAATTTCATGCACTACCTTTTAGCATCCCACTGTGTATAGAGAGGACTGACAGGAGCTGGAGGAGCCCCTACAGAGACACTGTGAAATTATCTACACAAGGTTGTGAATTGTCATCACCCTCATGGCTCTGTATTTATTTCCCTGTGTAGACCCTGTAAGTTCGAAAGAATAAGCTCAATAAATCTACAAATAATATGAAAGCAAAATATACTGCTAAAGACTTCAGTCCATTTTCTGTATGCACACAGGAGTCACAGAAGAGTAAGCACTCCTGTGCAGGCAATAAATTAGTGAATTTACAACAGCTTGTATTTATGTATTATTATAGATACAAATACTGGATGGCTAAAGCCACCATCCTAAAGTGAGCACAGATCTAGACAGCAAGTTGTACACACATGTACAAATATAATGTCAAATGAAAGCTTGTTGTTTGTGTCTGAACAGCAATGCGAGAGGAACAAACATGGAATTGAGTAATTTAAATACATATGAACTGAAAATGCACTTTAGTAAAATAATTAAGCTAGAGTATCTTCAGAAACATAAAAATATGAGACTACAAAGCTATTAGTGAAAAACATCACACTGAAATCAGGGCAGGATGTCAAGTCTTTACAAATACTACATAATTAAACTAAATGGAATCACTGGTTCCTAATATACCAGAACAGCAAATGCCACTGACTTAAGAGAAACTCAGGAAAAAATAAATACACGGAACAAAAGGACCTACTTGCCCTGACAGCATTTAACAAGAAACAATGAGAAATATCTAGCTGCAGTTGTTTCTGGTTAGATCACAACAATCAACTCTCAGGATAGACATGTGTCACACAGTTAACCATGCTGATCAGAGGTTACAAGTTATCCATCATGTTCCAAACTAATTTCATACAGACAAAATTAAAAAAAAAACCAGAATAGACTAACAGGAAAAGAGCAAACAATTAATCAAGACTGTTAATCAAATAGGTAATTTCAGCTGCCTGAGGAAACTCACATTTTCCTGAGAAAGATTGCTGGTTGCTCTAAGGCCCTCATCATGGATATGGTTTTGTAGTTCCTGAATCATATGAGGTAAACCACTTGACACAGCACGAAGCAGAGTATACATATTTGCCATGTCTGTAACAGAGATACATTTTTATAGAATATGGTCAGAAACACTGAAAATTGACACTTAATATAGTATCATAATTTCACACAGAACTTCTTAAAGACTGAAACGAGACTGTTTTGAAAAAAAAATTAACATACACTGGATCACTGACAAAATAATGAAAGGAAAGAGTAGGGCTAATACCAGTATTTACTGAGTCCTGACACTGTGACTAACTCACTCTTCCAATACTGCTTCTTTAGGAGAGAATCCAAAAAGAGAGGTGGGCTAGTATGGAGAAATACTGTGCCAGTGGTGGCTTGAAATTTTTCTCAGGTTAGAAAAGCTATAAATAAGCAACTGCTATTTTTATGATTTTTTTATTCCTCCCCCCTTCCCCTGCTAAAAAACAGATCCAAGCTCTGATCAAACTTGGAAAACACTCTGGAAACTGAACACTATTATTAGATACAATTTGAGTTTGGTTGTGAAAAAATAATTTGTCTCACATAATAGATACCATCTTCCATGCAAGAATAAGCATTCTTTCAAGGGTAAGAAGCATGTAGTAGTCATCAGGAAGACTTTTTTCAGTCAGGCAGGGAATCTAATTATAAGAACATCTCCTTCTTTAAAAAGGATTTGGGACAAGAGGTCACAAAAGATTCAGGACAATAAAAAGTGGCTGTGAAAAGAAGCCAAAATATTCTATAATCCTGACCTGTCAATTGATGGTGAAGAAATCTGTAAAGACAGAGCCATTGGTTTACAAATGAAAACACAAACACACAATATGATCAATTCTACAGGACACAGGACTTCAGTGCGTTTTTAAGCTAAGACAAGGAAACAGAAAGAGCATTGGCCAAAAGTAGGGTTGTTAACAGTACAAAGAAGGTTTTGACTACATATTTGGAAGAATGGAAGTTAATTACATGGTAAAAGAAAACGTAATTCAGGGTTGAATTAGGATTTCTAGGTAAGTAACGTTAGCTGAAAGTACTTAAGTGCACAGAAGGCCATTGAAAAGAAGATAGGAAATCCCAATGCTAAATGAATAAAACAAAAACCATTTTATGCTTTTTGTGACTACAGACTTACCACTTCTTTTCTCTTGTCTGATAATATTGTGACATTCTGCATGTAGAAACTGCAAGTGATCAGCTACCATCCTCTGTTGGCATTCATGAATCACTTTGCCATATGAGCTGGGATGCAAGTATTTCCGACACCTCATTTCTTCATCTTTTAATCTACCTAAAACCTGCAGACAAGTGTTCAAACTGAGAGCTGAAGAAATACTAACAATCAAAATAGAAACAGAATATACAGCTCTATATGTATGTAACATGAAACACAAGAATAAGTAAAAATTACAAAAGAACGTGTGCAGGATGCCAAAAAATTAAATTTGCTCTTTTGAATCAGGCTATTTCTGAAATAATATAATCTACTCCAAATACTGACTAGGAGCTTTCAGCAGTTCCCAAAACTTCTTTTTCCCTTCAACTTTGTGACCAGTTTTCCCCCATTTCTCTTACCACGCTTCTTGCTCTTTCTGGAGAAAGTTTTATGACAATACCTAATTATAAGAGACTATAAGAACCACTTTACTGCTCCAAATCCATCTGCTTGTACATAAAACATCTGCTCAATAGGTACAGGAAGGAAATAGGCATCATAAAATAAGTCATATGAATGCTCACATAAAAGCACTTACATCCTGTGAATATGAGGGGAGTCTAGGGAGAGCAGTGCAGCTGCAGAGTGTTAACAATAGGCAAAATTAATCTGCATTGCTTTTGGTTTAGTTGAAGTCTTAGCCTGTCCCTAAACTTCACCACAGGTGTGCAACCATTAGCTTATGCTCCTTATGGTTAAAAGCAATTTCACAGCCTTCTCCTCAACTTTTCTATATTAGTAGTGTGGACAGTATAGCACCAAGGACTGACTCCTAGTCTTGTATTAATCTTTGTTTTCTCAAACGAGGTATAAGAATTACAAGCTAAACTACTTGACTTTATACACCACACAGCAAAACAAAAGAAAATCCATCTCAGAGTATGTAATTTTTAATAATGCTCTGTAACAATTTAAAGTCTTCTTTAACCACTATGATGCAAAAACTCTCACCTTATGCTACTCCAAACTGAAAGAAAACAAGGAAGTGAAGAAGTAATACTGATCAACCTGATCCGTGTTTTATTTTTGTCTTTTTTTTTTTACTTACATGCTGCTAATTTATTATTTATTATGATATATTTTGATGCCAACCATCCATCCATAGCAAGGTTAGTAGTTTATGTTCAGATTAACCATGTCACCAAAAAGTATTGCATGAAAGCATAACAAAGAACAACTATAACTGTAGAGGAAAACATGTATCATCAGTAAAATGATAATACTAGATTTTAGTTATTGCATGTGTACCAAAGAATGTCTTACCTTCTCCATGTACTGAGAGCAATTTGACTCTTGCAATAAATTTGAAGCTTCTTGTTTATAATACTCCCCTGTTTCATTCAGAAAAGGACACTCAAAAATTTCCTGATAAAACTAGAAGGGAGAATTTTTTTTAAAGGACAAGTAATGCATATACTGGCTTAACATTCAAAATTAAAAACATAGAATCAGAAATACGTATCTACCTTTAGGGGGAATTTTTTCTTATACTGTTCAACATGAACAAAGGAGTTAATAACCCCATGGATTACTTTCTGGTTTGGGTCTTCTCCACAGCGATCACTGCAATAGGCAAAGCAAACATTTATGAAAATGGAGGTATCTTGTGTAATTCATCTGATAGCTGAATGAAATAAAATTGGATGAAAACATTTTCCAGTAAACTCCTCTGCTTAAATTGGTAAAATTGAAGAAAATTTATCTTAAAATAAAAAATGCACTCTTCTTTCTCTAATAT